CAGTTCTAGTTACATAGCTGTGATTTTGGCTCTCAGCGAATTTACGGGGTGACCTGCACACCATCAAGGGCAATAGTAATGCATTTATTCCAGCTCAAATTCCTGTGTGTAGTTGCTGATCTACTGTTTCTAACATATGAATTTGGTATTTTAGAAAACCGTATACATGTAGAGGTGCAACAACACTTTCAGTTGAGCTTTAGCGTAACGCGTACTGTGACATGCCTTCCTTTTCTTTGTTTTTTTTAGTCAGGTACAACTGTTTTCTAGATCCCTGCATTAAATAACCACACACATTAAATTGTGGCTGCAACAGTTTCAATGAACACAGATATCGTCTGCATGTGTCAGCTGCTCTATTCATTATACAAAATAACATCTCCATAGTAATGCAAGAATGCTGCTGAATAAACTTACATAGCATGTTCCATAAAACAGACAAAAAAATCTAAACACCGCACTTAGTCCTAGTTTAAAGTGCTCTTCCTACAGTTATGGGGCCTGCGACACTTTTCCAAGTAGCCATGAAATGAATTCACTAAAGGAGCTTGTTGCCCAACGAATTGACCACTGCCAAAATTTTTATATCTGTCGAGTATCAGCAGAGTTACAAAAATTTGTCACATGCTACAACTGCTTTGTTTTCTCTCATTCTGACAAAAGCACTAGAGGCCAAGAAGGAAGGAATGGCACAGGCGAAAAGGGTTTGCCAAGCATGCCTCGTGACCTTGTGCACTACTTTTGTTTTTTTCTTCTTCAAACTCTCGGTTTTTTAACACAAATGTGCAAGCAGCTGCGGACATGTCGTAGCCTCCCGCGGTGGCCCCAGTAACTCCTGAGCACGCCATGCTCAAATAAGCAGATGGCAAGATACTAGGCCTGTGACACAATTTGTTGATATATAGCATTATTTGTAGAGAGAAATTTTTTTTAGCTCACTTTGAGAATTTATAGTACATTCTAGGCTGCATCTTGCGCTATAAAACTTGGCTCGCATGTTCTTGGGAGCCTCAACTACTTATCGGCACCATTTTCGAACCATGTTCCAAAAGTGTTGCAGGGCCCCTTTCAGTAAGCATTCCCAGTGTGTAAATTCTGCATTCAGAGTATAGACAGAGGTCTGGAACTCACAGATGCTCCAGCTGGAGGAACCTGCTGGCCCCCTTGGTAGAAGGCTTGAGTCTGTGATGAAACCGCTGAAGCCATGCGTGAATGTGACACCCCTGTGTTGCTAGCAAAGCGACTTCCAGTTGGTGCTGGAAGGCCAGCTCTGGGGCCTCCCATTGTCAAGGGCCTACCCTGCTGTACACTGCCACCAGCTGACGGTGCTGAGAACTGACCCAGGACTTCAATTCTTGGAAAAGGGAAGTGTGGTGATGGCATGCCTAGGTGCTGGCAGATTCGATCTCGTAGAATTGCTAGTGAAGGCTGCATGTTTACGAAATGAAACCACACATAGGCATTTGTAGCAGTTATTTGTGTTATATAGATCAGACAACAGCTAGATTACAGTACTGCATTTACGTTCACACAAACCAGAACTTGCATAGCATAAATAAGGGTGTGCAAATAGTCACTTTGAGATGGACATGACCAAAATACCATATGTACTCGCATAATTTGCACACATTTTTTTACAATTTTTCTGCTCTGAAAGGAGGGTGCATAAAATATGCGGAAATTTTGAAAATGCATCTGAAATGATGTGCAATAGTATATACAGTAGTCCTAATGCACACAAAATATACGTAAAAATAAAAATAAATTAAAGCAAGAACAAAGTGTCCTTGTTTATTTAACAGAATTAGCACATACTAGCACTGGTCACGCGCGGTCTAGTCAGAATTACTGGTCGAGAGGTCTCATTGGCAATTGTCGCAGTTACTGTCACTGCCCTCCCAAAATGAGTCATCCTTGGTTCCATCGCGCACGTTCAAATGCCCCATTTTGTTGAGGCTCTTCTTAATAATGCTGAGATATATCGGGTACCAAGACATGGTGATACCGAAATACTGAAGTTTTCACACATCTTCAGCAGTAGAAAACTTGTATTAGCAAGCGTGCACTCTTCTTTCTTCCATTGCAAACATCACACACAGAAAAACTGCCAGCTGAAGTGCTTGGCGTAGGCATGGTTCCCGTTTTCTACAGCAAACTTTAGAACAAGGAGCTTGAATTTCACCATACACAGTTGATTCGCGATAACTCAAACTCTGATAATTCATACTTTTGGTTAATTCAAACAAAATTCACTTTTTTTTTTTTTTGGCCCTCTATTCTTTCAATGTATTTAGAAGCCTCTTAATACAAACTCCATCATGTGGTTAATTAATACTTTTTGTAGGTTCCTACCAGAAAATATCAGTTGCTTTTCCACTACTATTTAAAAAGTTGTGTGCTAATATAATCTTGACTGTCTAAAAATGAAAAATAGGCACCTGAGGCCTTCAAAAGAAAAGGCTTTGCAAGTAAACAAATGTTTGAAACGATGTACATGCATGGTAAACCGTGATGCAGTTAGAAACTCACAACTTCTTTAAAAGGTCTGATCAGCAATAAAAATAAAAGGCTAATAAATTTAGTATGGACTATACACCTCTGCTTTCTGTTCCCTGCATGCAGTTAGGGCTTAAAGACACACTTTTAAAAAGTTTAAATGTGATAAAATCAATGCCTAATCATAATGTGCGGTGTCACTTCACCCAGAATCATCTATCTGAGAACTTCTGATAATTCAAACTTTTTGATAATTCAAACAAAATTCAAAGGTCCCTTCGAGTTTGAATCAACGACAGTGGACTGTATATAGTTATTGTAGTCCATCGCAAGGGAACAGTAAAAACGCAACAGACGGATGTCAAAACTTAAACGTTTGGAATCAACCAAACGTGCATTGCAGCGCGGATGCAGAGAACGAAGAAAACAGTTGGGTGTGGCAGGCCCTCGCACGCCTCCGATGCAGACAATTGTCCGTGCTGTGATGTAAGCATGCATTCTCAAGGTGGAGAAGATGGGAAGATACTAGAGGGAGACAAACGCTCGAGCAGTTCCAACAACTCGTCAACAGGTTTTGGTGTTCGGGTACGGTATTCTAGGGACCACAGTTCAGGAGAAGTCCTCGAAAAATGAGACTTCACACTCACAGCATTTTTTGATGGATGGCTGTGCTCACCTTGTCGGAGAGGCGTGCACCTAGCGCACCCATTTAATGCATCCAAAGGTCCCAAGTCTCTTCATGCGCACTGGCAAGCTGCCTCAGATGGGTTGGGAAGTGCGAAATATGAGATTAAATATATATATATTTTTTTGTGTGAACCTGGCTAAATAATAGGGGTGCGCAAATTATGAGAGTAAACATAGTACTTCACAACTGATATAAGAAGGTGCTCACATGCTATTCATTATATCTGTTTCTCTCGTTACACTGCACATTGTGAAGCACTGCATATTAAAAAAGCCCACCAAAATAAAAGCGCAAACTGAGCATTAGAAACAATTAGGCCATTCGTATATATATGCAACATTATTCAGAGATTGTGAACCATTGCCGTTTTGGCAACAAAGTCTGGCTCCAAAAATAATGTAGCCTGCCACACTTTCCAATTCCACATGTTTCATACGTGCTATGGTCTCACATATAAAATGCATTGGTCTTTTTGTCTCATTTCCTGCTCTGTTGCTAACAGATCACAATTTGAAATATTAAAAAAATCAAAAGCAAAATACCTAGGCCAAACCATTTCGCACCGATGCCTACAGCCGCCCCCTTCGTCCACTGTCACCAGCCCTCAGCGCAAACCACCCATCTTCGCAGGCCTGCGCGGTGACGACGTCGAGGACTGGCTCGACCTTTACAACCGTGTGAGTTCAGCTAATTGGTGGACCGAAGCGGAAAAATTGAGTTATCTCTCATTCTATCTGACCGGCACAGCCAAAACGTGGTATTTCAACCACAAAACTAACTTCGTTGATTGGTTCACCTTTGCCACAAAGCTGCGACAAGTCTTCGGATGCTCGACAGGTCATTCTGAAACCACAAAACAAACTGGCAGCGTGAGTTCAACATCCACACGAGACAGACTTCGTATATCGAGGATGTTTTGGCCCTCTGTCACCATGCGAACAGCGATATGACGGAAGCCAAGCGCGATTGCCACATCCTCAAAGGAATCTGCATGATTGCATTCAATGCCTTGGCTGTTAACAATCCCACTAGAGTTGAAAACATAATTTCGACATGCCAACACCTTGATCAGTTGCACTCGCTCCACCTTCAACAAGACAACCATCTCTGCCTTATGACTCCGTCCCATTTGAAAGGGCTAATCCGCACAATCATTCGTGAAAAACTTCGAGACCTGAAACAGCAGCGGTCCACTGCCGTCTCAACTCCATCCGCACCGTTCGACTTGCAGAATCTTGTGAAGCAGCAGTTAGTAACCATGACAACACCGACAACGCCGGTCACTCCACCAGCACGCCCACTGCCCACATACGCTGATGTGGCGTCCATGACGACACCGACAGCATCAGTTGATCAACTACCGACGCCCACATATGTGGATATAGTTGCAATTCCGCTTCCTGTGGTCAAATCTGAGCCTGCTGCCATTACTTGTGGCCGTTTGCCTTCGGTGCGGTGTGGAGTACCTCCTCTATCCTTTTATCCTCAGTGGCATTCATTCCGTCCTGTTTGTTTTTACTGCGGTATCCAAGGCCCTATATCTCGTTAATGTAATCACCACCAGTAGGATTAACGACGAGGCTACGCTGAATTCGAGCGGGACCGCTATCAACGGCCCGATTATTACGGTCCAGACTCCTACCCTTTCATGTAGTACCGGTCACCGTCTCCTCCAGCGTCCCCGCGTCAACATCAGGACTACCGCTCCTCCAGACGACGCTCTCCATCACCCTACTAATGCTCAGTATCTCCGCTTTGCCCCCTCTCCCGCACTGTATAACAACACTCGAAAAACTAAGGATTGCAGTCCTTGAAGGGAAAACTGCGTCCTGTCGATCATCAAAAGTACTTCCTGTTTCCCCGGCCAACCTGTTGTTAGTGACTATTGAAGGTGTTCCTGTGCAAGCGCTTGTTGATACCGGTGCCGCTACTTCTGTTATACGTTGTGACTTGTGCTCGCAGCTCCGTAAAGTAAGAACCCCTTATGTAGGACCTGTGTTTGTTGGCGTAAATAACGTACTCAGCCAGCCTGATGGACAGTGTACGGCTCGCATTTTCATCGACAGCTTATATACCCACATCGAAATGATTGTGCTACGCACGTGGGTTCATGAACTTATCCTGGGCTGGGACTTCCTACATTCCGCCTCTGCTGTCATATCATGTAAAGAACAGATCGTTGCAATCGGGGATACATCGGAAGCATTTCTGTCACATCCGCCTTTATGGGTCTTCAACTTGGCTGTCGCTGAAGACTGTGTTTTGCGCCCTGGTGACGAACACGTGGTAGCTGTTGCATCTAGCCAAGTAACCGATGGTGATGCCTTAGTTGCCCCTGCTGCTCGCTGCACTTCTAGTGGAGTTCTTGTTGCCATCTGTCTGCTACGGTTGTCCCATGGCCGTGCTCTCTTCTGCCCATTTGCAACACAACTGCAGAATCAATGATGTTACCCAAGGGGATGACTGTAGCGACAATAGACGCCTCTCCACTGACCTGCATTGCAGCACTTTGCCTGTCTTCATCGTCACTGCCCACGTCAGTTCCTCCTCTTTCCCATAAATCGTCGGTACAGATCAAACACCTGCCCAGTCCGCAGCGTTATTGGCGCTTTTAGCTAAGCATAAGGCCTGCTTCGATAGCTGTGCCATGACATTTAGCCAGACTGCAGTGGCTGTACACCACATTCAAACCGATGGTTTTGGTGTTCTACGCTGTTGGCCTTATCGTGCCTCGCAATCGGAAAGGAAACTCATTGAAGAAAAGTTGAAGATACACTATTACACAAGATACCGTAATACGGCCATCTTCCAGTTCCTGGCCTTCTCCGGTTGTCTTAGTGAAAAAAAAAGATGGTTACGTTCGTTTCTACGTTGATTATCGTGCGCTAAGTAGGATCATGCGCAAGGATGTATATCCTATGCCTCGAATAAATGACACCTTGAACACACTACAAAGAGCGAATCATTTTTGCAGCCTTGATTTACAATTGGGGTATTGGCAAATCCCTATGAATGAGGCTGACAAAGAAAAACCGCCTTTGCTATGCCGGATGGACTCTACGAATTTGATGTAATGCCATTTGGCCTGTGCAACGCTCTGGCAACGTTTGAGCGCATAATAGATACTAGTCAAGAGTCCGACGGAATCCCGTCTGGTCGGGGACAAACATAGTGCAAAATAACAAAAACGTTAACATAACAAATACAAATAAAAATAACAATAACAATAAAAATAACAAATAAA